AAGCGGGATGTGTCATCCGGAGTGTAAATGCTATCCCGATTGTTAATTGTGTGCCAATAAAACGTGACACAGTTGTGGCCCCTTCTGTGAGCATTAAGCCTCTAGCTGTATTATTCGGTCTCCGAACAGAGAGCAGGAGGAAGGGAGGAGGCGCTGAAAGGCCCCCAGGAGGAAGGTGTGGGGCTAGGAAATGCATGCCTTGCAGCAAAAGATGCTTTTAGCAAATCTTTGAAAGCTGAGAGTATGAGCCTACCGTTGACGGCAGGGGGTGATAGGCAGTCTGTGTTGGTGGCTTTCAAGAAACGTTGCTTTTTTTTTCCACCAAGAAGAAAGTGCACCGCGGAGAGCCCGAGGGGTTCTGTGTTTGGATGATGCAAGCTTGAGCTATTATACTAGCTAAAACCCAAGAGGCACATAATTGGATTGCGTTTGCTCTGTGTGTATCCGTGTGCATGCATTAGCGCATGTGTGCATCTGTGTGTTTTGGAGAGCTTGGTGGGCTTTGAAAGATGGCGGGTTCCTTTCTTAGTTATCAAGGGGATGCTTTTTTCCGGACTGTTTGAAACAACATTTCTCAATCTGGGGGTCAGGACCGTGGGGGTTTCAGGGGGCTCGCCAAAGACTACCAGAAAACACACACACACACACATCTATCTATCTATCTATCTATCTATCTATCTATCTCCTGCATATGTCATCAGTTGGGGACCCCTCTCCCCAGCACCAACTGCCGCTCTGGACCAGAGTGAAGGGAGAGGGGGCCAGGGAACAGTTCCACCTTGTCTCCTGCATATGTCATCAGCTGGGGACCCCTCCCCCCACCACCAACTACCGCTCTGGACCAAAGTGAAGAGAGAAGGGTCCAGGGGACAGTTCCACCTTGTCTCCTGCATATGTCATCAGTTGGTGACCCCTCTCCCCAGCACCAACTGCCGCTCTGGACCAGAGTGAAGAGAGAGGGGTCCAGGGGACAGTCCCATCTTCTCTCCTGCATATGCCATCAGTTGGGGACCTCTCCCCCCAGCACCAACTGCCGCTCTGGGCCAGAGTGAAGAGAGAGGGGTCCAGGGGACAGTTCCATCTTGTCTCCTACATATGTCATCAGCTTGGGATCCCTTCTCCCATCAGCTGTTGTAAATAACTAAATGAATAATAGTCTGATGAAGTGATATATAATTGCAGATGGGAGAGGAGGACATCACAGCTTGAGCTCCCAATACCTAGCTTTTAAGGAATTGGCATGACTTGCCAAGGCCTTCTCTCCTTCTTTTGCCCTGTGCTGTTAAAACCCTGGGAGATGAGGCTTTGTAATGGAAATGTGGCAGGCTCAACACAAAGCAGGCTTTCACTTTGTCTCCTAAATGAGTTAAATAGCTCCGATCCTTGTTCCCGTTGACAGTGGGAGAGGAGCTCGATTGGTGGGTGACAATCCCGTTGCGTGCGGGCGGGCTGCTGTGGGATCTAATCCCTCGGTGTGCTCCAGCTTCTCCTTTTCTTCCTCTCAAATAAGCAACAGGATGCCTCCCTTTCCAAAGAAAGTGTCCGCCTCAACTTTGCTCCACCTTTGTGCCAAACACATCCGCCTCCATCAAACGCTGCCACCGCATGACTAACGGCACACATCTTGACAGAGAGGGGCGGCTTGATAAAGTAGCCTGCATTGCAAATAATAGTTTTTTGTGTGAGTAGGAATTTGACACATGGGATTTGTGCAGGCTTTGGCTGGCTGGAGTTTCTATGGTTACATTATAAACACTCAGCAGGAAATGACTTTGTTCAGCAACAAGGCGGTAGCATTGATATAAGTGGGCTGCCTCCCTTCATCGGCTCGAGACTGGAAGATGCCAAAGTGAGGCCAGGAAAGGATATATTAATGACCCCACATTGATTTCATTATAAGCAGTGGTGGATTTTTTTTCTAGTGGATTCAGATGGAAGTACTAGAGATGTTCGTTGTTTGCGGATCTAATCGGAAGTTGTGTGTGATTCGTAAATTTACGCATACGAAGCTATTTCTGAGGCATGCAGGAAGGGGGGGGGGGAATTTAGAATTCGAATCACTTACCTATTTTTTTCATAAATGTCCTGTAACTTTCAGATGCCTCCCAAGGTCAGCCTAATTTTTACTATAACCACTAGCTTGGGGACCCGGTTGTGCCTGGGTAATTTGAGAAAGGCATGGATGATGTGATTTGCAGTACCTTCACTCACTTCCTGAGACCACTGCAACCCACACCAATGACCGATAAAGACCAAACTTGGCACACAGAGCCCCCATGATCCACTCTACCTTCTGGTGCAGTTTGAAGGAGAATGGACCATGGATGATGTGACTTGCAGTACCTTCACTCACTTCCTGAGACCACTGTGACCCTCATCCTAGGTTGGTCTTTCTCAGTTATTTATGTGGCTCACAGTGGTTTCAGGAAGTGAGTGAAGGTACTGCAAGTCACATCAACCATAGTTTGTCCTCCCCCAAACCGCACCAGAATGTTGAGTTCGCCATGGGGCTCCCTGTGCCAAGTTTGGTCTTTATTGGTAATTGGATGAGGGTCGCAGTGGTCTCAGGAAGTGAGTGAAGGTACTGCAAGTCACATCATGCATGGTCCATCCTCCTTCAAGCTGCACCAGAATGTAGAGTGGGTCATAGGGGCTCTGTGTGCCAAGTTTGATCTCTATCAGTCATTGGTGTGGGACGCAGTGGTCTCAGGAAATGAGCGAGGGTACTGCAAATCCAATCATCCATGGTCCACCTGCCTTAAAACTGCACCAGGATGTAGAGTGGATCATGAGTGCTTTATGTGCCAAGTTTGGTCCTCGTCTGTGATTTGTAGGGCCCACAGTGTTCAGGTGAAGGTACTCGAAATCCTATCATCTGTGGTCCATCTACCCTACACTGCTCCAGGTTGTAAAGTGGGCCATAGGGCCTCTGTGTGTCAAGTTTGGTCCTGATCTGTCATTGGTGTGGGTCACAGTGGTCTTTATTGGTAATTGGATGAGTGTCGCTGTGGTTTCAGGAAGTGAGTGAAGGTACTGCAAGTCCCATCATCTGTAGTCCATCCACCTCCAAACAGCACCAGGATGTAGCGTGGGTCATGGGGGCTCTGTGTGCCAAGTTTGGTCTTGATCAGTCATTGGATGAGTTGTAGCAGTCTCGGGAAGTGAGTGGAGATACTTGAAGTAACATCATCTGTGGTCCATCCTCCTCGAAACTGCACCAGGATGTAGAATGGGTCATGGGTGCCATTCTCTGTGTGCCAAGTTTGATCTTGATCAGTCATTGGATGAGGGTCACAGTGGTCTCAGCAAGTGAGTGTAAGTACTGCAAGTCCCATCATCCATAGCCCTCCTCCAAACTGCAGCAGGATGTAGAGTGGGTCATGGGGCATGTCCTCATTATCTTGTGTATTGTTTAGAAAATTCAAGTAGATCGCTCTTGCCGTATTTTTTAATGTTGTTTATGAAAACTGAAAATTCTATAAATTCGCCCAAAAGTCTTAACATTCTGAAATTTGGTGAGCTAACTGTGGTTCAAAAAATGAGAGAGAGAGAGAGAGAGAGAGAGAAGCCCCTCAAGTTTCCCCACTGACCGTGATGTTTTCCCTTTTGTGCTATCGTGACCACTATTAATGAAGTATTTATGAATTCTCGTAATTTTCATTAGAGTTCTAAAATTTTAACCCCCCAAATTCGAAAAGGACTTTAGAAACGGAGCGGCAGTGCCAGCTAACCCCCCCCCCTCTCTTTTTTGCAATGACTCAATCATTATCTGCCTGCTTGGTAATGAGAACTGAAATACTAAGCAGTGATAAGAACTGTGATAGCGATAAAAGAAATGTTTACAATGTTAAGAAGGAAGTGAACACAAGGTGAACACCATGAAGACGAGTCAACATCTGTCCGGGAAACTGAGATGGAGCCAGGAGGTGAAGACTCAAGGGCATTCCAAGCAGGACAATTATTTACGACATGAGCAGAAATAGAATCCTATAAAAGATTCAAAGATCAGTAATGCTGGGATGACCCTGTGACCTCTTCCTAATACAATATGTCCCCCTTATTCATGGGTTCAATATCCAAGGTTATTTTATTTTTGTCCAAGTCTTCTCCTTGGGTCCTCAAGGCAGGGGTCCTCAAACTACGGCCCGTGGGCCAGATACGGCCCTCCAAGGTCATTTCCCCGGCCCTCGCTCAGAGTCCACCTAAGTCTGAAACGACTTGAAAGCACACAAAACAACAACAACAACCCTATCTCATCAGCCAAAAGCAGGCCCACACTTCCCATTGAAATACTAATAAGTTTATATTTGTTAAAATTGTTCTTCATTTTAATTATTGTTTTGTTTTGTTTGATTTTTGCACTACAAATAAGATATGTGCAGTGTGCATAGGATTTTTTTTTCCAAATTAAAATCCGGCCCTCCAACAGTTTGAGGGACTCTGACCTGGCCCTCTGTTTAAAAGGTTTGAGGACCCCTGATCTAAGATAATATAAGGTTTGTATTTCTTTTTCACAGAGCAGTTCACATTCCATATTCTGTTTGGATTAGTTTTATTTATTTATTATTTATTTATTTGCTTTATTTTTATACCGCATTTTTCAGCCTAATTCGGCGACTCAATGCGGTTTACAATGCAATTTATATAACAATAACAATTAGTTAAAACACAACATACACGACAGACAATACAAGACAAACAACGTGGTCATCAACGCCTCAGTAAAAATCAGATTCCGTTCTCATAATCCTTCTACCATTCCTTGTTCATGTTTTCTAGTTTTCTGTTACATGTGTTGTCAAGGCATTGAATAGTTTGCCGTTTCGTTTGTTGGGATCCGCCCTGAATACTCTCGGGGAGATAGGATGTAATATAAATAAATAAATAAAATTATTATTATTATTGCTTTAATATGTACATTTGGCGATTTTATGACAGTGTAAAGACTCAAATGACTGTGAAATTAAACTGAAACCTTCATTCTCCTTTTTTTTTTAAAGATTGCGTGTACATTGAGAGTCGCCGACCAAACACTCCATACTTCATCTGTAGCATTCAAGACTTCAAATTGGTAAGCAGTGACACCTATTTTCTTTCTTGCTCTTTAAAACATATAACGTTCTTCATCCCTGGCGATTATATGTATATAAGTGATTCTCAACCTATATGTATATCAGTGATTCTCAACCTTCCTAGTGCCGCGACCCTTTAATAACAGTTCCTCATGTTGTGATGGCCTCCAACCATAACCTGATTTTTGTTCCTACTTCATAACTGTAATTTTGCTACTGTTATGAATCGTAATGTAAATATCTGATATGCAGGATGTATTTTCATGGTTACTTCTTTCTCCCTGAGATTTGGTCATGGAGGGGCCACTCCGCCCCTCTCTAAGCCTTGGCCTTCCTCAGCCCTCCCCTTCACCTTCTCCCTTCTCACCTCCACCTCTTCCTCCTTCATCCCTCTTGGCTCCAAAGCCAACCTCACCTTTGTCGCTTCCATCTCTTCCTCCTAAAATGGTGGAGGGAGCGGGGCTCCCTCCAGAGAAGAAGAGGCCTCTGTGAAGTGAGCGGTGTCTCGGTTATTAAGACCAATGGAAACAGAGTGTTCCCTCACTTTTTGTGGGGTTTACGTTCCAGGACCTCCCGCAATAAGTGAAAAACCACAATGTAGAGACGCTATATTTATTTTCATATTTATACATTATTTTAGTAGTTATACACAATTTTAAGTCTTTATAAACTTAAAATAAAGTGAAGGAAAGGAAGGAAAGGCCCTTCAAGGCTGGAGGAAGGACTGAGGAAGGAAAGTGCCTCGGAGAGTGGTGGCGGCAAAAATCCGCAAAACAGCGAAAATACCATGATATATATTTTAAATTAATATTTTTTGAAAACAGCAAAATAGCGAGTCCGCTAAAAGTGAACTGCGAAGTAGCGTTCACTTTTAGCGGACTGGAATGTGTTTTAGCGGACTGGAATGTGTTTTCCAGTGGTCTTAGACGACCCATGTGAAAGGGCCATTCGACCCCCAAAGGAGTCGCGACCCACAGGTTGAGAACCCCTGCCCTAGAGAGAGAACTTTTCAAATAGCATTTTTTCCAGCACCAAAACATTGCTCATCTTGGCAGTCTTGATTCTTGTAATCCTGCCCCCTTTGATGCTCCAACAATCTACTCTTTGCACGAATGTCTCTTCACCACTAGCCTGCTTGGTTTCTTCATGGGGCTGAAGGACCTTTCATAGAATCTAGCATAGAAATGGACAGTGTTTCAGACTTCAACTGCTGCCTCCCCATAATGAAATGTTTTGCCCTCTTGTGTTGTCGAAGGCTTTCATGGCTGGAATCACTGGGTTGCTGTAAGTATTTCAGGCTGTATGAACCGACGCGGACACTAAGATCTTCCGGGGAAGCCCTGCTCTCGGTCCCGCCTGCATCACAGGCACGGTTGGCGGGGACGAGAGACAGGGCCTTCTCGGTGGTGGCCCCTCGGCTATGGAATGCCCTACCCATTGACATCAGACAGGCCCCTTCGCTGCTGGCGTTTCGAAAGAAGGTTAAAACCTGGCTCTTTGAGCAAGCGTTTGGCTAATCAGCGCAATCGAACATAGGATGACGGTAAATTGAACATAGGAATGGCACAAGGATTATGAGACTGGATTTTGCTTTGTGATTGAGGCATTACGAATGATTAATTGTGTATTTTGTTATTGTGTATGATGTGTTTTAATTGCTATTGTTGTGTTAATTTACATTGTGTAAACTGCATTGAGTCGCCTAATTAGGTTGAGAAACGCGGTATAGAAATAAAGCAAATAAATAATAAATAAATATGGCCATGTTCAGAAGCATTCCCTCCTGACGTTTCGCCTGCATCTATGGCAGGCATCCTCAGAGCTTGTGAGGTCTGATCGGATTATTTTTCTGTGGATTACTTTTTACTGCTTTGGCTACATATATTCCTAAATAAACTGCTTGCTGATTTTACCCAGCTGGTGTGGTGTTTAAAGTCAGAGGTGATCCTGCTTTGGAGTACAACACTCAAGTCCTAATGTTCAGGTGGAACACTATGTGTCTTGACCAGGATTGGACTCCCTCCTTGGCAATGCAACACTAGTGCAACACTCTAGTCCTTCTGTGCCTTTAGGTCTATGGTTCTCAACCTGTGGGTCCCCAGGTGTTTTTGCCCACAACTCCCAGAAATCCCAGCCACTTTACCAGCTATAAGTGCAATAAGAAATTCAATGTGGAGAATTGATAAATGTGGATTTCATATAATGATGTGTGGGAATGAATGGAAGGATGCATGAATGGAGTTAATCATTTTGGAAGCACCAGTAAAATATTAAGGCCTGTTGTGACTTAACTACCTACTTGCTGGACTGTAATCAAAAAAACCTGCTAATAAGAAATGAAAAGTAAACTCTGATAAGAACTGTGACAATGGTTCTTTCAAGTTAAGGAAATGTTTGCAACATCTGTGGCAGGCGTCCTCAGAGGTTTGCTCTCGTGTTCCTTTAGTTTGAGTAACAAAACTGGATTATGTTGTTCAGAGATTGAATTTTCGTTTTGGCGGTTCTGATTTTGAGATTTTTTAAAGGGACTTCTGTGCTATTTGTATCTTACGTTCTATTTTGTGGTAATTTGTATGTTCAACTTGGAATGTGATTGAAGGGTGCTATAAAATATTTATAAATTAACTGACAGGGGTTTTCTGACTGTTGCTCCAGAGTCTTTGACAGAAATGTTTTTCTCTGTCTTCATAGATTATTTTGTTGATGCAGAAATTAAGCCTGCAACTTGCTATATGCAAAGCAAGGGCCTATTGTTGAGCTCTCTATAACCTATCCTTATTTACTGAGCTCCGAGTGCTGGTCCAGTGTGAATATTATGATCAGTACCAAGCTCGGATGCTTACTTACTTAGGTGATCCCTTGTAACCCGAGGATGATGGTCCTCCAAGTGAAATATCTTGGTGGTAGGTTTGTAGGTGGCTATGGAGACTTATTCTCAATCTGTATGTTCTTCCGCAGTGAGGGCATTGTTTACCAGGTGGAAGGTGGTCCTGGTCAGGGTTGGCTTCATGTGCCTCCTCTTGGCATGTTTCTCACTTTCACCCTCCATTCATGCCTCTTCGAATTCGACAGCACTGCTGGTCACAGCTGACCTCCAGTTAGAGTGCTCAAGGGCCAGGGCTTCCCAGTTCTCTTTTGGTGACTATTCCACAGTATTTGAGTTTGGCTTTAAGCCCATCTTTAAATCTCTTTTCCTGTCCCAGTCTGCTGGGATTTTCTTGGTCACCTACACTTTTTCAATGAGCTTGTAGACTTGTTGCGTCAGCTCAGGTCCAGCTTCTTTTTTTAAAAAAAATTCTTTATTTAATTTAAAACAAAATACATGATTATGATAAAGTAACACTAGCTTTAGATAAATAGTATAGAGATTAGTTAAAGATAGAAGTATAGAATGGAAGGGGGGATAGGGATGACCAGAGTAAGGGGGACGGGTGAGCAGTGAGGGGTAACAGAGAAGTTAAACTATAGTGGGTAAAGAGATAAATAGATGGATAGGTTTAAAAAGAAAGAGAAAGAAACAGAAAGGTTTCAAAGCAGATAGAAATGTAAAGTTCTTGACTTCTATGAGGTTCTTTCCTTTTCCTTTCCTTTTCCTTTGCTTCTTTCTTATTTTTCTCCCTCTGTCCGTCGTTCTTTCTTCTTTAAATAAATATTTTCATTTTTTTCTTTCACTAAATATGTTGTCACTTGTTTCCAGTCTGTCTCTTCCTTTGGTGTGCCCTTATTTTTAGATAGTAGATATGTCAGTTTGTCCATATTTCTTATGTCTTGGATTTAAAGACTTCAGCAGGGATCCCATCAGGTCCGCTGGCTTTTTTTTTTGTTGGCTGATTGCATTGCTGACTTCCTACAGCTCCAGCTCCCCATGTGAGAACATGAAAGAAGCCTCTTGCAAGGATGGAGCTCGCATGGGGAGCTGGAGACTAAGCAGTGCTGCAAGATCATCCCTGGTTTGTTGTTGTGGGATTTGTGAAAGAACCTCTTTCTTTGGCCACTTTGGAGAGCATGGCTGGCTAAACATCCTTCAAGAATTGCCCAAATGTTCTTTTATTGACTTCTTCATCTTATACTGTGTTTTCCATTCTGCCTGGATTTCCCTCCCTTCCCCATATCCTAAAATCCAGTGTACAAAGCAAACGCTTTGGACCACAACTCTTTCCATCATTTTCCCCAACAGAACTAATGTTCAGAATTAAATTGGTTCTGACCCAATCTGTTGTTCTGATGAATAGCCTTTGCCGAGCTTATTCTCCACGATATTAATTATTTTGTGGAGATATATTTCAGATATGAATGTTGTTCTCTTGATATGAATGTAGAGTTTCGACTCCTGGACAGTTGCACATTTTTTCCAGTGCAATTTACAGGATATTATAAATTTTCTAAATCTTTTCAAGTTGGTCTCCAAGATGCCAAGGGCTGCTAGTAAGCAGCTGGGCAAGAGTGAATATCTATGTCTGTTTTAAGTTCACTGAGCTGTAACTTATTATTTCCTGTAGTCTTTCCACCTCAGTCCAAGAAAGCTTGTCATTTGAATAAGTTGAAAATCCAGACAAACAGAGGTGTGTTGTCCAGTTAAAAACAGAACTGGGGATAAACATTCAACTAATTATGGACAGTGTTGCAGTCCCTCTGAAGATACAGCTTAGTATATGTCAGTAATATTAGCTTAGGATACCTCAATGTCTGACAGCCCTCAGACATGGGAGAAGGACCTCAGTGTGAGGTAGGCCTCAGTCTGTGAGAGGTCTCTGTGGGAGAAAGGCCTCAGTGTGAGGTAAGGTTCAGGGTTAGTTGGCCTCAGTATGAGAATGCCTCAGTGTGAGTGGAAGCTCCAGTATGAAGGCTGCTGTGTGTAAAAGGCTCCTGTGTGGAGCTCCCGGGCGAGTAAGTTTGGTGTGAGAAGAGGCTCTGTGAGAGCAAAGCTGTTTATCTGTATGAGAAATAACTCCAGCGTGGAAGCAAAGAAGGAAGTACGAAGAACTGTATTTGTGTTATG